GTTTATTGCGATTATAGAATTAGCGCGGTCAGCAAACGAAACGTCGCATCATCAGGTCGATTCGCGGTAACGCGGGTTCGATGCCCGGGTCACTTCCGAGTATGGGCATCAGTCGATTGGACACGGATTGTTTTGTTATGTGTTGGATTACGTTTGGCGTTTTCACTGAAATTTGCAACGTGTGTTCACGTTTATTAGAGCGTATTAGTTAGGAAGGCTTTAGAGCTGTTCATTAAGCTTTTGTTTTTTTTTTTTTATTTAAATGTATGGTAATCAATCAAAATGCTGTAGTTAAGAAGATGTGTTGCAAGTAGAGTTTGTTTTTTGAAAATTTACTCACTACCCATCCATCCTCTACAGCCTATAAAGTAAAAAAAAAAAATTACGTGGTAGAGCCACGTTGCCGCTATGTTATGTATGTAGAACGAATGACTCGGCTCGACCAACGAAGGAGCACGCTCTCACGCTTGAACCACAATAACAGCTTAATGCTGCTATGTTTCGTATGGTAAGTGTAGAGAACCGGAGACCCTTTTTATTGGAAACGAGGCATTCCATCTTAGCACTCAAGAGTGACAACGCATCTGCATTTTGATGCTTAATTGAGCATAGATATAGATGTCTATGGGCCACAGCACCCACTTACCATCAGGTGGACTGTGCGCTCGTTTGTCACCTTTATTCCATAAATAAATATCGGATATTCTTCGATGATCGGTGAACTGCTTGAAAACAAAATGATCCAGATTATAAATAACTACACTAACAACGAGTTTCAATATTGTCACTACATCGTACTCAATAGCAATGCTTACATTGTTGCATATTTCCATTATCGATTAGTACCTGCATACCGAAGGCTTCGCTCCTAGATGGCGCTAGTGTAGAGTCAATAACAGGGGAAAACCCTGCATTTATTTGATTGTCCCCGTGCTCTACTAACACGTGTAAATTACTTATTGATGATTTAAGGAAAATCAAATATTCATGTATTAGTTAACTAAAGTTAATTAAAATTAATGTATCCGAGGTTTAATCAACTGTAATTGCTCAAGACCAATTATAGTTGATTAAAGACGTTTCTTCAAATCTCATTTATATTGCTTGTTCTGTTTTGATGGATTAAATAAATACTTGGTTGAATCCACGATCTATCATCATCTCTCAATTTCTACGGGCAAAAGCATTCTGGTTATGATCTTGGTAGTTGCATTCATTATCTATTCGATTGAGTAAAAGCATAAATACATTCAATCTATATTATGACCAATTTACTTTGGGTTTGAAAGAATAATTATAAAAGGCAATCCATGAATTCAGGAAGATCTAGAGAAAAGGCAAAGACAAGTTAATCAGTTTAAGCTTATTAAAAGTTTTTTTTTTTCTAGAGTAGGGATGACAAACGAGGACACAGTCCACCTAATAGTGAGTGGATGATGTGCCCATAGAAATGTCTATCCTCGATTAAGGATCAAAATGCAGAATGCGTTGTCACCCCTCAGCACTAATATGGTATGTCTCGCTTCCAGTAAAAAGGGTCTCCGGTTTTCTATATACACCTTACGAAACACAACAATATTGAGCTACTACTTTACGAGAGTTTTTTGTGAGAGTGCAGTCCTACCCCAGTCAAGCCAACTCATTCGTGTTTCACCCATGATACAGCTGCAGCATGGCTCTATCTATGCTCACGATGTTTTCTTTTGAACATAAAATTCTAATGATAAGGCAACTTGACCAGGACCTCATGAGTTTGTAAGTAGCCTTGTGTTATTATTCTTCATTTGTATTTTAATCGTAGGCATATTTAAACGCTAATAATACGTTTAGCAGTAATGGAAGCACTTTGCTGACTATTCGTATATTGCTTTTCGTTTTATGTCGATGAACTTTATCCGTATTACGACTCGGCATTGCCGATTGTTTTGTGCGCGGAAATTAATGTGTAATATATGCACCATTGACCCTATATTTTGTACGTTAAATAATAGTTTTCAAATAGTAGACCTCTATAGCTGAGTGCGCTTAGAGAAAATTCTAGAAGTTTAATTTTTATAGAATACGGGTGACAAACGAGCACACAGTCCACCTGATGGTAAGTGGATATGGCCATAGACATCTATATCTTTCTTTTATTATGAATCAAAATGCGTTGTGACCCCGGAGGACTAAGATGGAATGCCTTGGTGCAAGTAAAAGGGGTCTCCGGTTCTCTACACTGACCATACGAAACACAAACAACTGCTATTTTACGCTGGCATTCTGTGAGATTGTGGTCCTTCCCGGTCAAGCCGATCAATTCGTGCTACATACAACTATAATATGGCTAGAGTTTTGCCACGTTGATAACGTACAGATGGTACATACTTGTTTACTACTAGATGTGACTTCGTCACACATACGTCGAAACGAATGTCGAGCATATACGTAGGAATTTGCGTCATGCTGACACGAAAACTACAGACGACAAGCATTTGAAATAAATCCCTTCATATATACATACATCAAAAAGAGATACGAAACTAATTTAGTATCCTCAATATATTATAAGAGATGCCAAGCTTAGTTTCATATAAACTTTGACCGAAAACGTTACTTAATAGCTATATGAGAACGTCGATATTCCGAACATAAGACAAAGAAATTTGATTGATACGGCCCAGTCGTAAGCTGGATAGGTCGATCGGTAATATACAGACTGATGTAGGTAATTGAGAAAATTTGGATGGAAAACGTGATGTGACCTAGTAACGGTACATTTTATATAGTGTACACGTTCGTACTATTTTTACACCTGTTATTATATGTTGTAGTTAAAATATTTATTGAACGCTAACCTCTCGTATAATTATGCGAGATATCGATTCATATACCGTGTGTATAATTTTTTACTGGATTCGAATTCATCATTTGTTTTAATTACAGATTAACCACGTGCTCTGTGTAAAGGAAAATTTAAGATATGCAGCTGGGAGAGGTTTGAATTCAGCAGAGAAATTTTGATTTGGAATGCTATTAATGATGGTTTATTTAATTAATACAACCAGGCGATACTTTAAGGAAATCCATTATATTAAAAATGGTCAAAATTATTTTGCCTACATCCGCTCAATGAAATAAAATGATTTGTGTTACATAGTTTGAAGAGCACCTTCCGCCCTCCCACTGGGAGGCAAAATATTTATTACCAACTTTAACATGATTTATCAACATAAAATAATAATATACAATATTTATTGCAATAAAAAAAAAACTAAACACTAAAATTATTAAACAGTCCTACTCCCTACGGTATAATGCCAAGTACGCTGGCAGCATTTATTAACTTGTGGAGGAACGAAGTTAGGAGTTGATCTAATATTGTAATTTAAAAGTTTTAGGACTTTTAGATTCTTTAGCGAAACTCCGGGACTTTTCATGAAAATCTCGTGACGTGGTTCTAGCGTCAGCAGATCCAATAAAAATTGTTGATTAAGTGATAAGTGCAACAGTGGGGTCTATCATATTAGCCACAACTTTGTAGAGGTTCTAGAAGCTCCAGAATACTATTAGTATAGATTTATTTTCTACCGACTTCAAAAAGGAGACGGTACACAATGCAACTTTATGTTTTTTTATGTGTGTTACCTCATAACTTTTTCTGGGTGAACCGATTTCGATGATTTTTTTTAATTTGAAAGCTGGTGCTTCTCATGTGATCCCATATATATTTAATCATGGTCTGACTGATAGTTTTTGAGTTATTCGTAATCATTTATACCAACATAGAGTCGGTTGTACAAAACTTTTAGTTTTAAATAATGTTCAATATTGAACAATATTTGACAGATATAAAAAAAGGATATATATATATATATACACCATCTTCTATAAATAATAAATAAGCACATACTAACTACCTATGGACTAACTAATACATTTAACTAGTGAGCTACTTGTGAAAACTATACGAGGAAACCATAATTGGGAAATTACTGTTAAACGTGGCGTTTTGTTGGCGAACGGCGGTTTCGGCATTCTTTTAAAACAATAGCTTATTGTGTGTTTGTTAGTCTGTTTATCACCTAAACGTTTTTGTTTATGTGAATTAAGATATTTAGAAAACAAATGCGAATTTATGTACATGTAAAAACCAGTGCAAATCAAACCAATTTTTTAATTAAATTAATATTATTAATTGGATTCGTTATCACAATTATATCTTATTGTGATTACTCGAACTGAAGATATGTAACAACCGATTATATTATGAAAAAAAGCTTTAAGTCTGTTGAATATGAAGATTTTTTTCTTAATGTAAACCTCCGTTAAAATATTTGACCAAAAGATTGTGCAAAAAGGGACGAGGAATCCGAACGAACGGTATTGTAAATAAATATTTGAATACGACGGTGTGTGCATGCCTTACATTTTATATACTTGCAAATAATTTTTAGGGCAATTTTAAACTGCCGAAACTAAGTTTCATGAAGCAGTTTCGTAGCAAATTGTAGTCCTTGCTACGCTCGTAGCTCATATTAAGCTCTCATCAATATTAAACATTGTTACTAGAAGAACAACATAAAATGAAAATTACTATTTTTTTGTATTTAATACTAACATATAACACGTACCACTTTACGTATGAAAAAAAAATATAATTAATAAAAGATATTACTGAATGGCAAAAATAAAAAATGCAATACCATAACAAATAAATAAATAGCTGTACAATACATATACCATTAAAACAGATGAAAATAATGTTTCCCCAATATTTCAAGGTGTTGATATGTTTTCAATTTAGAAGAAACTCAACGGGGATTCGGGTTATGCAAACTTTAGAAATGCGGTAAGCAAGTAAATTGTTTCAGAAAATAATAATAAGATCAAGTAAGAAGTATTAAGACGTTAAATAAAAGACATCCAATACAAAACGAAAAGGTAGGCTCTAGCTACTATGTAGGTACACTACAAGCACAAAATTATTGTTGTTGAAAAGTTAATTTTATAATTCTTACTGTATCTCTTCATAAGTGACTTCTTGTAAGCTTTTCCGGACATTGCATCCTCGACGGGGCTGAGCCGTTCAGCGGAGTCGTCGGACTCGGTTCCAGAGTCTCGTCCTGCAGCCAAATATTCCCTGGACTGGCGGAGGATCACCTGGGCGCGCACGTAGTCCGCCGGGTCCGCGAATGAGTGCCTGGCGAAATCGCGCACTGTTATCTCTTTCCGCGTGTGAGTCGACAAGTCCAATGGAGCATCCGTCTCTTCCGGTGTGGCGGGTTCAGGGTATGCTTTCCTCGCAGCCAGGGTCCGCGGCTCCGAGTCGGCGCTCATCGCCCGTCGGTCGGCAACCGGCGAACGGCGTGTCTCCGGGTCGGCACTCGCCGGACGTGCCTCGTATTTAACAGCCATCATATTTAATTATTCACAAAGTCACCATAATCACAAGCGTTTCCAGTTATGTCATATAGCGTAATGAGTGACGTTGTAACCGCGCGCCGCGTCCACCGGCGTTCGCGTCGAATTGCGGACTGATGTCCCAGTTTCGTCGGCGAGTTCCACTGACTTCGTGAGCTCGGTTCGGCAACGTTCGGCGCCGCTCGGGCACTTTCGTTTTCGTAGGGCTGCGTGAGTGTGCGTTTGGCACACTGGTGAGCGCCGACAGCGGTTTTTCTACACGCGCACATAAGCTTTCTTGCGAATGTGTGCGCGCGAAGCTTTTCCACTTTCATCCGCGAGCTTTCCTCAATTTCCCGACAGGCCCGGCGGGTTTTCACTAGACGAGTGTTTTAATTGAAATCTCTGACCGACTGCTCGTTTCGTTTTCGAGTTATTGTTCAATCACTGATTGAGTTTCCGATGAAATTTAATATAACGATTTGGAAGATTTATTTACACCCGCAGCCTGTTTACGTGTTCGCAAATATCGGTTCAAATTGATTCTTCAATGACCTACATGTTAGAATGAGCATTTCTTGACGATTTACATAAATATAAACGGAAGGCACTGTTAATGTTACAGCTGGTAATAACGCTATATTTAATTAAATGTATTTCAACACAAACAATTGTATGATTAACAAAATTCAAATAACTAAAGCCATCTAAGTCACTAAACCTCCGTAAACCGGAACGTTCTAACTATCAGCTATCCATATCAATGTTTGCGTAACACCACGTAAACAATTTGGTATGTTTTTTATCTAACGCTCGGGGCATTGACCGACTTTACAAATAAAGTTGCGCGTGCGCAGCGACCACGTGACACACTGACTCCGCCGCTGTACGCTGGCCTATCCCTCCTCCTTTGACGACAGCAAATATAGACGTGACGGGTGGAAATTGGAGCACGTACGTAGATCAAAATATAATGGTCAGTCAGATAGGGATGCTTTAAATGTAGGATCAATGTCATACGTTAATTTAGTCTATGTAGATTGTAGATAAATACGAGCTGGTGGCTCTTGGACCGTTGACAGAGAGGTTTTTTTACTCTGTAAATAAGATTACGCTCACAATTTATGAATGGAGGTGATTGGATTGGTATAAACTTCATGTTTGGTATAATTACAAACATTGGCTTTTTCCATTCAGGTATTTTCATATAATTTAATGATTAAGTCATTCTAACCATAATATTAGTAGATATAAGAAAGTGACGTTTCACGTTAAGTTTTGTAAAGAAAAAGTTCTCACAAGGTTATTAATATTTTTTTTATAAAATTAAGGGTGATAATATCCGCAGCAGAACTAGAGTAACTGACATAGCGCAACAGATCAATAAGCTGAAGTGGCAATGGAAACTAATCAGGGGTAGCAGCGTGTTCCTAATAACAACTAGATAAGAAATGAGGCTGCCAACCCGCCTGCCAAGCTAGTAACTGGCAAACCAGCAAAACCTCTTCATGTGGAATTATATGGGGAGGCCTATGTTCTGCGGTGGCCTTCGATAGTCTGTAATGAAGGAATGATGAGTCTCGTATAATCTATCGGTTATCCCAAAGCGCAAAGTATGTAGGACTATAAGAATTTCCATTTAAAAAAAAACATGCGTGAGGGTCGTAGAACACTCGGTTGGAATGAAGTTCCTTTCGTAGTATATTATTATTGATAAACTTATTATATTATTGATTAACAAATACAAATAAATGAATTACTAGTGTCTATTAAAATGAAGCGTCATTTAAAATAAAATAAAAATTCTTTCATGGCAAGATAAGAAACAATGCGAGGGAGATGGATATTATTCCATCTCGCTTCGTTATAGCCATCAAGGCCGTCTATACTTTCCGTATATACACTCTTATCTATGGTCTATACTACGTCAGAATGGTCGTGACGGATAAATCTTGCACATTTTCTCGCCTAGCCCTCATCCGTCAAATTCGTCCCGTCCGAAAAGCAACTTCGTTCCAAAAAGCAACGAATTCCGTTACCGTTACAGCCTATTAAAGTCCACTGAAACACTGAACTTAGACCTCCCCCATAGGGGAGATATTGGCCATAGTTGCCGCGCTTGGCAAGCGGGTTGGCAAACACAGTTTTGTAATTTTTATTCGTTATTAGGAAGATGCTGCTGCCCATCTCCTGACTTGTTTCCCCCTATCGCCTCTTACGACATCCACGGGATGATATGGGGTAGTGGATATTCTTACACCGTCACTACTCGGTAAAAAAAAATATACCTGCAACCCAGAAACAAACTGGATTTAGATTTTAGATATGCGTGGTAGAGCCAGGCTACAGCTTTATTATGATTACAGCACGAACGGGGCAGCTTGTCCGGGGAAGGACTACGCTATCAGCAGCTGTGTTTCGTATGGTGAGTGTGAATAACTGGAGAACCTTTTAGAAACGAAACATTCCATTTAGCCCTCAGGGGTGACAACGTATCTGTCTATGCTCTATGTTCCGCAGCATTCACTTACCATCAGATGGACTGTGTGCTCGTTTGTCATCCTTATTGCATAAAAAAAAGATATATTGCCACAACTAAGGCTATTACTATTGTACTATTATAGCCAGTTAATTATTTTGTTAAATTTAAATCACGACCGTAACTAACATTATCAAATAATCTAACATTATCATAAATTCTTTCGTTGTGTATTTATAATATAAACATTAAGATCACACAAAAATTTTTAGAGCGTGAACAATAATAATTATATTTTGCGATTCTTGGAAGTTGGTAACTTTGTTTATACATAGGGGCCAGAGCGTTGCTATCGGGGAGAAAGATGAGATAATTTTGTAACATTATAATAATAATCAAAAACAATATACGAATATTTAACACATTTTCGTGACTTGTATATGTCAAAAAGTCATTGTACTGGATTGTATAAGTAAAAAAAATCATAGTATTGGTATTGCTCTTGATATATGTACATAAGTGGAGCTAATGTTTGGTCATTCTTTTTTATTCCGCCAATGTAATAAATACTAATGGCCGATTCCTATAGTCAAGAAACGTTTCGTTCTTTGTAACGATCCGTTTCACTACATACGAGGTGCATGTAAAATAGTATAATATATCACAAACTATTCATTCACCAACTTTAAATTAAAAAAACTTAAAACGAATCTTAACAATTGAACTAGTATTATGTTATAAAAGAGGGGATTTCATGCATTTCATTGACGGCAACACGACTCGTACAAGAAAACGAAGCGTTTTTAATTACTGAAATAACGTGAAATATTTAAGTGGAACTTGAATAAAAAATAATGTGCCAACTGCGTTACCAATCTAAAAGGCGGCTAATGGATTATTAGAGCAGGGATGGAAGGCGATGGGCTATCCAGGTAGGTATCACAATTTTCCATCGAAACCAATATGTTTTGTCTAAACGTAGTCCAATTAGCTTGCTGCTGAACTCTGCCTACCCTCTAGGGGATCACAGGTATGATAACCTCTACACATACATAGGTATCGATGTATTGTAGAGTTTTGCTGCAGTGTAATATAGCTGGAGAACGAATGCATCAGCACGACTTTGGTAGGACTACTCTCTCACAGAATAAAACAGCAACAATCAACATAAATATTTTTGTATCATAATCATCATCACCATTGCAGCCCGTCACAAGTCCACTGCTGAACATGGGCCTCCCCCAAGGAATGCCACAAAGCACGGTTTATATATTTTCGTATAGTGAGTGATAAAAATTTAAGACCCTAATATCTTGTAACGGGGCATTACATCTTAGTATTCAGAAATTACACAGAAACAGAAACAGAAACTTTTTTATTCAATATAGATTATAAATAATACTTATTGAAAGTCACTCTTTTGTTTGATTACCACATAGCATCTGATAAATGTAGGTTTATCTCGGCAACAGTATTCACTTACAGCCAAGTGGACTATGTGCTCGTTTGTCTTTGTTATTTTAAAAAAAACCAGGATACAATGTTCGGTTGTATAAATTCTGATATATGTGTAAAATATTAAAAAAAGCCTCACTGGATTACTTGCTTATGTCACTTTAGTTTTATGGTTGGTACCATTGAAAAATACCAAATTGATAGAGCTTTTACAAACAGAAGAGTTCAGAGTTTTTTTAAAGATCTAAACTGATGGCAATGCACCAGAGAGTGGGACATTATTTTTTTATAGAATAAGGATGACAAACGAAAATTATTTATTAGAAATAAATATTAGAATTTGCCAATGTATTCGTTACCACAATTTCAAAATAGTATATCAGAACATTTAAATTAGAACAAACTCAGCAGAGTAAAGCAAGGGCGTATCTAATAATTTGGTAGAAGTTAGATCACAGTAACTCCTGTATACGTGATATTTTTTATACGACAAAGGTGATAAACGAGCACACAGTTTTTTCCCTCGTGGTGAATTTAATATAAGTGGCCCTGCTGCATCAAGGCCAGGATTTGGGGCAAGGAGGTAGAAAAGGCGAGTGAAAGAGATGAACCTATACATCGATCTGGAAAACTTAAATGTTGTCCGGCAATGTCAAATGTAATAACGGCCAAAGGAATATCGAAAATATGAAACAAAAAATACATGTAGAACCTTGTAATATAATTCAACCTTAAGTGTTTATTCACCTTAAGGGATACAAACTAATACCATATTGAAATATAAACATACATCTTAAAAATCCAGCATAAATAGCTTTAATCATCTTAACAGAAATAATGAATGTTGAAAAACCATTTACCTATCGAGTTAAAATATCTATATCTATATCTATATCTATCGCATCCGAAGCTGGAAGCTTCAGGAAGCGGATACTAGGGACAAATATCATGCGAGGGTAGCCGAAAAGCTTGACACCATCGATGGCAGAAACGAATGTGTAGAAAGAACATGGCAGAACCTTAGGGATGGAATGGTAAGTGCAGCGGAAGAAGTGTGTGGAACAATAAAAAGAGGCAGTAGTAA